CCCCAAAACCCCAAAACCCCAAAACCCCAAAACCCCAAAACCCCAAAACCCCAAATTCAAGTTTTTAAATTGATCTACTAATCATGAATTAATTTGAAATTTTACTCATTTACTCTGCTCTGTAATATGAATCAAGCCTTTGATCTTCATGCATCTGCCCTCCTTGCCAATTGCTTTGCATTCCCGTGGGAAAGGTTGGGACTCCTGCTGAGAGATGAGGGGCTGGAACATCTGTTCTATACTTTGCCTGATGGGTAGTCTGCCAAGAAGTATCTCCTTTTTGTGAGATTCCATCATCTCCTCCAAACATCCTTCTGTGATGATCTGATAGCCATTGGCTATGACAGTCAATTTTGGTGACTTTGTTCTTAGAGCCTGCATAAGGCATTTCTTCATAATTATTCTTGTTGTCTAGGTTCCAAACTCCATTCATTAACATGTCGAATTGCACATCGTTCTCTATTTGGGAAGATATATAAGTATAAAAATCTGTAAACTCGCCTCTGCTAACTTTTGCACTAGAGTCATAATCATGAAGTACATTATGATAGACTTCAAAAGTATCTTTGAACTCGCTCATTGCTCCTTCTGGATCATTCTTTCCTGTTGTGACATCTGGGTGGCGGTATGGGTCGAAGACAGAAAACATTTCTTCAAGGCTAATGCTGCCTTCGTTGTCAGAGTCTAGCTTATCAAATGCTCTCTCGACTAATTGTAGTCTATATTTATTCAATGCGCCAGCAATTGATTGCAAAAATTCGTTATATTCGATTCTTTCATTGTGATCAGCATCAAAGGAGTTAAATAAATTATCAAGGTCCTTTGGATGAATGTATATCTCATAATCTTCAACTGCTTTATTTAAACTCATATTTATCTAAATAACCGCTCTGATCAGTGTCGAAAAGCTTAAATTGCTTAAGTAAACCAATAAGTCCTCTTCCACCTCTATTGTTGAGTTCTTCTTTGAATCTCTCGATGTAGAGAATCTGGCTCTTTGGAGCACTCTTATGAGAATATTGGTTCTTGCCATAATACTCTGGCTCATATCCATAATTATATTCAATAGGAGGATCAGGCTGGGCAGGGACTTCGGTCTCAGAATCCTGAGGCCCATCATAGTTAGGATCATTGAAGATCTTGTTCAAAGTTTCTAACGACTGCTTGTTGATATATTCAGGGCTCATTACACTCTTTCTTGCTGCTGAAGTTGATGGCCTATAGTGATGAGTTGTGGTCGCAAGTGGGTAATCCTGACTATTCATCCCACTTCTCAAAATATGCTTTGAGGGATCTGCATCTTCCTGCAATACTGCTGATTTGCTGGGAGAATAAGCGGTGCCTGCGGTCCTGGGTGGCTGATAGGCAGCTGGTGATGAGTAGATAGCTTTTGCAAAAGCCCTATAGTCGATCTCTCCTGCCTCAGTGATTCCTGATAACTCAGAGAAATAATGTCTAACTTCTTCCTTATCCTTAATGATTCCTATCTTCTCAATAGTTCTGTAAAAGTTGTCATAGCCAAGAGTTCCGCTATTGTAGATGTCAAAGAACTTGAATTGTTTGACTAAGAAGCCTTCCTCAGACTGAAAAGAGGATGACTTGAAGCTAACCTTGGATTTGAGTTCATTCACAAATCTATCAACTGCTGATTCCATTTTGTAATTTAATTTAAAATCAATATTTTTGGGGAATTAAGGGGTTTTGGGGTTTTGGGGTTTTGGGGTTTTGGGGTTTTGGGG